ATTTATTTAATTTTTCTTTATATTTTATCTATTTTCATATACTTTCTTTCTCTATTTTTCTTTTCTCCTTTTCTTTTTATCAAACACGGTGTTAAGCTCATTAATGATCATTTCCACTTTTTAATATGGTGAAAGAAACATAATTAACTTTGTTATTATAATTAGTAAGAAAGAAACACTTGTTGCATATTTGTATTTAATTTAAATAATAAAAAAAAACTATGAGAGAAGAAGTAAGTTAAGATAAAAAAATGTGGTCAATTATAATAGAAAAGATAAAATAGTCTAACCAGTAACTAAGAAAAAATAAAAATAAAAAATATAATGATAATATAAGTTACATAGTATTGGATGATCTGTAATTACAGATTAAATAATCTGGAATAGTTGCAGAGATATAATAGTCCCAAAAAAAAAGTAAAGACAAAAAAAATTTATGTTATCAATATTTTCTTTATATATAACTAGTAGAAAAGAGACATTCATACCTTTACTGAAATGAGCAATTACTTTTTAACTCTAGAGTAACATTATATATATAGAGAGAGGGAGATTTACTTACTTTAAGAATAAATCTATGTAGACTTATTTTATATAATAACTCATGTTTTACATCAAATTTTAATGATTCATCTGTTGAACTACAAGTTTTTAATGCATAGATCAAATTTATAAATTTTTAAAAAAATTGAAAATTATTGGATACTTTATTATATAAATTCAAATTAACATATAAAATATTTTTATGATTATCCATCAATTTGAAACAGGGTCTTAAATAGTTTTCAAAAATTTTAAAACTTTACGGATACGATCTATGGATTAAGAACTTTGAATTTAACAATTGAATCATTAAAATTTTATATAGAACATGAGTTATTAAGCAAAATAAATCTAAAAAGACATATTCTTAGATTAAGTAGATTACTCATCATACATATATGTATATATATATGAGACAAAAAAATCTATATAAAAATAAAAAATGATTATCAAAATAAATATTTTCTTTATATAGTATAAATATTTTTTTAATACATTTATAATCTAACTTTCATTATAACAAAATATTATAAATTCTATAATCAATATCCTTAATGAGAATGGTAATTTTTTTAATTTTAATTAATGAAATATAATATTTGTTTAATGATAAAATTATTAAATGAGTTAAGTCAACGTAACTTCATGTCAGTAGATTTGTCTCAATTTTTTTTTTAAAGATTACTTATTTTATAGTCTGGTCTAATCTGTTTATATTTAATTAAACTGACTCATTTTATTTACTTTTATTTGAATTTTAAAAAAATAGTAGCCTAAAATAGACACAATATGTTTTGATTTTAAAATTAGTAGTTCATACTAAATTGACACAAAAAATGGAACCATGTTGGCACAAAATCTGTTGGGTCAAATATATTCTTAGCCAGGATTGAACATATAGGAGCATTATTTATATCTCTAATTAATAATTAATAATAAAATACAGAAACGGAAATCTAACTGTTGAAAAGTTATATTTTCTTTCTATTTTCTGATCTGGAAAATCTGGAAGGATTTGTCCTTAGAATAAGTGGGCAACCTCAAAAAGTGAATTCTGTTCATAGTTGCACACAGAAATCTTGTACACTATGATTGTAATAATTATTATAAGCATATAAAACGCTAAACTATGATTTACGTCTAAAGTTGGGACAAAAAGAGATGAAAACAATAATGTTGAAAGCGTGACGTGGTGGAGCTAGGGATCCTGAAATTCCTTGGAAGCGTGTTGGATATGCTTTGCAATTGCATGCCTATTCCTAACCCAAACCCCATTTTCTTTGTTATTAATAATTCCACGTCACAACCTGGACTTTCCAGTTTGCGGGTCCCAGACTGAAATCTGCAGTGCAGTCCAGTGATTCTCAATTCATTTGTACGTACACACCTCAAAAGACTAAAATACCCTTCATCTCATCATGTCACCCTTTGAAATAAACACCTTGCCTTTGCCCTCCCAATTTACACATTCCATACTATTACTCTTTTTTATCATAACATTAATGATATATTTTAATGCACTTTTATTTATTTTTAATTTAATTACATTACAATATTAAAATAACAAAAGCCCTTGCTAGTGTGTTGCGTTGAGTCTACGTCTAGGACTTCTCTAACTTAGTATCATATCGACCACCTTTTACATATCAATTCAGTTGGATTTAAATGTTCTTGATCATCTTTGGATCTATTCCCAGCTTAACATCGTCCTCGCATTGGTTGGTTCAAAGAGACTCAATTACAGTTTCCTATAAATGCAAATTTAGAGTTAATTCTTGCTTTTTTTCTTCTGAAACTCACATCAACACCAAGTATTTGATGAAAATAATATTATATAAATCCATTTTTTTATAATGAAAATCCATTTTATAGCCGTATGGAATTCGTTAGACAAGTTGTATTTATGGATCTTATGAATATTTGTTGCATGCGTGCATATTTGTTCAGATATTTTTTAAAGGTAAAAAAGAAAACTTAGCATGGTCTTTTACTTTATTATATATAATTAGAGATATTTAAATGAATTTAATAACTCCTACCTCATTAATAGGTAAATGGAGAGAAAAAAAAATCCATTTTAATTACAAATATTTGTTAAACTATCCAAATTGTGTTGGTAACAAATTTTACTCGCAAATATCTGCTTTTATGGATTTTTTTTTTATTCCTAATCGTGGGTGTTTTAAAATTTATGAAGAAAAAAATCATGTTGCACAAAATGTTCTAGAATTCACATTCATTTTTTTAAGAAAATTGTTTTGCCCATGCTACTTGACATTTGATTATTTTTTTAATCATCTTATAAATAAATAACCCCATCCATGATTCCTAGATTAGCTTATAAATGTATTTTTTTAATAAAACCAGAATCGTAACATATAATCAAAACAAGTGTTAGAAATATTTGTCATTTATCAATTATTAGATGAACTGCATACTATTGATGATTAAATCGGATAGGAATGGACAACCATCCTATATGAGAGGTGTGAAAGCCAATCTGAAAGTGAGCTAAACCATGGATGACTTTGCAAAAATCGCTATTTCGATGTACAAAACGTGACGTTCAGGTCAGGTGGTACTCCCACGTGGAAATGTGGATAATCGATGGAGGATAAAATTTCGAATTTTTTACTGGAATAATATTTTTTAAAAAAAATTTTACAAGAATGATCACTGTGCAGAATTATTTACCAAGATAGAACCATTTACTGTTCAAGCTCAGAATTCGGTTCCCCGGGAACCGAATTCTGAGCATCAAAATGTAATTTTTTTTGTTTTTTGAACTCAGAAGGGAACCGAATTCTGAGTTGGTTTTAATTTTTTTTTTTTTCGTGTCTGGGGCAAATGTGGGCTGATGTGGGAAGCGGAACGGCCCGTTCCAAAAGCAGAACGGGCCGTTCTGCTTAAAGAAACAGAGTGCAAATTCTGAATGTGAAACGGTCCGTTCTGCTTAAAGAATTTGCACTCTGTTTCTTTAAGCAGAACGGCCCGTTCTGCTTTTGGAACGGGCCGTTCCGCTTCCCACATCAGCCCACATTTGCCCCAGACACGAAAAAAAAATAAAATTAAAACCAACTCAGAATTCGATTCCCCGGGAACCGAATTCTGAGTTGAAAAAATAAAAATAAAATTACATTTTGATGCTCAGAATTCGGTTCCCGGGGAACCGAATTCTGAGCTTGAACAGTAAATGATTCTATCTTGGTAAATAATCCTGCACAGTGATCATTCTTGTAATTTTTTAAAAAAAATATTATTCCAGTAAAAAATTCTAAAATTTCCCACGCAATCATGAAAACGAGATAAATATACAAAATCAAATTAAATAATTATTTTTAACTATACTTTTTTATATATTTATTTTATGTACTTAATAAGTAAGTAACTTAGAGAACAAGGGTGTTGCACTTTTTCATTTTTAACATTTTTTTATTAGCATGTATATCATCTAATATGTTTTTTTTACAATAAATGATCTAATAATCTATTGCGTGCGAGGATGTATAGAAACCAAATAACTATTTAAAAAGGTAATAATACAGAACATGCAACATGTATGACTTATATATCAGAAATTATACATAATAGCTATTACTGTTATTATTAAATAAAGTAAATAAAATAGAAAAATAAATGAAATGTAATGAAAGACCGAATTATGTAAAATTACATACTATACTATAAAACATCTTCTTAAATAATATTTTGAATTTGAATCTTATAATTAAAAAGAGAACTTTCACTAAATAATCATTTTAATTCTATGAAATGAGTCTAATTCAGTTAATTAAGCAGAGTGTGTCTTTTTATATTCATGTGTGTATTCCTATATAGAGATATAATCAGTTTGATTTTTCATTAAAAAATGAATGTTCATAAAATCGGTGATAGTTTAAGCAATTACATATAAATAAGTTTTGTGCTGATTTAACCATCTTGCTTTTAGTATAAAGAGCCCTTTATTTATGTACACTTTTTTCTTTCTGACATTAGGCAGTGAGAACACAATTTATATAAAACAAATAAAATAGTTATTCCACGGGTTACTAAGTGGACTACACGACAAACACCGCTCCATGGTTTTGCTCCCGACACAGGTCATGAACCCGCTTCCTGAAACACGTGGACGGTGGGATTCGCATTTTTGCGTTTTGCCACGAAAAACTTAGCACCCAGGTTATATCCCAACTCTATTTATTTTTTTAAAGGTAAACACAGTAAAGCATTTATTTATTAAAAAAATAATATTAATACGTTATATCGTTACTTTTTTAAATGTTTTAACGTAATTTTTAGTAAAAAATATTATTGATTAATGACATTCGGTTGCTTAGAGTTATTTATTTATTTATATATATATATATATGAAGAAAAAAAAATCTCAGTTGAGTCTCCTTCGTAACTTAACCATGGTTAGTTTCCGCCGCTTTAACCTGGTTAGTAGTATTTTCTAATACTACATAGTACATATCATCCTCGTTGGAAATAATTTCTCTCTCTGCTCTGAAAGTTGCTCCACCGCGCCGCCTAATAGGACCGTCGTACACACGACGGCCGAGAAAGTTGATCATCATCTCATTGGGAAGTGAAACTGAAATAAATCCCTAGTTGAAAACAAGAGTTGGCGATAGCTGAAAAAACAAAGCAAGCATGGCGGAAACTCAGAATCCTTCACCACTGATAGATTCTTCAGCGTTGCCTCAGGCACTGGCAGTGCCACCTCCCAAAAAGAAGCGAAGCCTCCCTGGAATGCCAGGTACATTTATTCATTCATTTAAATGTAAGTATATTTATTTGTTTATTCGGTCGCTTTATGAATATTCATTAATTAGTATTTCGGGTTTTGCGTCTGTCAGATCCAGATGCCGAGGTGATTGCTTTGTCACCGAAGACGCTGTTGGCGACGAACCGTTTCGTGTGCGAGATCTGCAACAAGGGGTTCCAGCGCGACCAGAACCTTCAGCTTCACCGGCGCGGCCACAACCTGCCGTGGAAGCTGCGGCAGCGAGGGAGCAAGGAGCCGCGCAAGAAGGCGTACGTGTGTCCCGAGCCTTCCTGCGTCCACCACAACCCCGCCAGGGCCCTCGGCGACCTCACCGGCATCAAGAAGCACTTCTGCAGAAAGCACGGCGAGAAAAAGTGGCAATGCGAACGCTGCTCTAAGAAGTACGCCGTTCACTCCGATTGGAAGGCGCACATGAAGACTTGCGGCACGCGAGAGTACCGTTGCGACTGCGGCACCTTGTTCTCTAGGTATCCAAAATCCGAATGCCCGTCTTTTTTTCTTCTTCTTTTTTTTTCAAAATAATGTCCTTAACAGTTAGTGATGATGATGATACGTATCTTCTTTTCCGAAGGAGGGATAGTTTCATCACGCACAGAGCATTTTGCGATGTCTTAGCGCAAGAGAGTGCCATGGCCCAGGTCCAGGTCCAAGCCCAAGCCCAAGGTGCTGGCAACAGCAACAGCAACAGCAACGATGTTGTGGCTTCTTCGCCGCCTACGCCTCCACTTACTCCCTCTGCGTCTGTCGTGTCCCCAACCTTGTCCATTCAGAGCTCAGGTAGTTACTCGAGTTTCGTTTCCTGTTTTCGTTGGTTCAAGTTGTGTGAATTTTTCACAAACGTTTTTTCGACTTTCGTCAACTTTTTAATTTGCGAAAAATTTAGATTAATAATAATGGAGCTTAAACTTGTGAGCATGACGCAGGCATGATTTGAATGAATTTGGAGAATGTGTTTTACTGTTTTTTGTCTCTACCGATGTAGCTTTCTTTTTTAAACAGTTTTTGTTTTCTTCTGCTTGTTGGAAAACTCGACAAGTTAAGAGTTCCTAGTGACAATCCCCGGAAACGGTCGGTAGGATGGAGCCACTGCGGCCTGCACTCTGCACTGCAGAGGGGGATAGTGAAGAGATCTACTAAGATTATATATTTGTTTTAAAAAATTAATTATGGGTAAAATTTCTCTATAAAAGTTAATTTTATTCAGGTAGCAAAATAAAACTGTTTTAGTATAATAAACATAGATACTACAAGTATGTTCGTTGAAAAATGTTTTCTTTCGGAATTATACTACTATTCACATTAATTTCATGCGAAAAAATTAATGCTATTCACGTTAATGATCGACACATTTGCCAAGAGGCAGAGGTTAAATTACTTTTCAACAAGATTTCCTAAAAATTAGACGCTAAAGCTTTATTTGTGTGTATATTATATTAGAGTGTTCTGAACAAGAAACTTTAAAGTTGAAGCTGAGAATAACAGGAAAGACCTCAATAATTGATTTCCTTTTTGCTCCATGCATATGCATTATTCAATTACAAGCTTTTTAACTCTCCGTTACAGGTTATAATAATATAATGATATAATCATAATCATAATCATATATAAAAAAGCTTCCTTTCTGTTTTACGTTGATTTATCTATTTTGCAACTTTTTTGAATTCTTTTTCCTCCTTTTGTGCCCTCGACTTTTTACCTTTGTTTACCTTTTTCGTCATTGGCACTAGAAATTCCGGAAAACCCGACGAAGCTGTCGCCGACATCTTCTAGCGCAACGTGTTTCGTGAACGCCGTGACAAGCACCGCCACTGTGTTTGCAAGCGTGTTGGCATCGCCAGCAACAACCGTGACAACTCCTTCACAATCACCATCATCAGCATGCTCGTTCTCGAACCTCATGTCAAACTTGGAGTGCCCCAACACCACATCCCTCTCCCTCTCCACACCACTCTATCTCTCCAACAACGACCCTCCCCAATACACTGCGTCTCCCCAACCTGCATTATCCGCCACTGCACTGCTCCAAAAGGCAGCACAAATGGGTGCATCAAACGCGTCCTTGCTTCGTGGTTTAGGCTTAGCAACAACATCATTGTCGTCGTCCTTCGGGAAAGACGAGGGTGTTAACACAAGTGCCGCAACCTCACTACAATGGAACGGCCAAGTGAAGCAAGAGAATGAACCCCTCGGGCTTGGGCTTCCCTGTGGGAGTGGGGGTGTCACCGATGTGATGATGGGCCCTTCCGCCCCATTCGTGGGCCAGCCCATGACCCGTGATCTTCTTGGTCTGAGCATCGGTGGTGGAGCAAGCAGGGGTGGTCTCTCTGCTTTGCTTAGCTCTTTCGGAGGGAACTTTGATGCATCACCCGGTGAGGGAGGAGTTCACCACCGCTAGAAAAGTGTGAAGTGCTTGAATAGTTGCATCTGAGCAAACAAAACAGTTCAGTTTCTTGGCCTCACCCGGAATTTTTGTGACGGGTAAATAAGCCAAGTCTCGTGCCAGTGAGAGAATGATAGGAGAATTAGAATCTACATCTTCAATATTTGTATGTATAAATGTCTTTTCACTTTTTCTTTTCTGTAATAAGTGTGCTCGTGCTGTTATCAAAATGTGCATATGGCCAGTTGGCAATTGCGGTTTTATTTCATGTTACTTTATTGTCCCATGTTCAATTTTTCCGCGAGTGGAGCATATCTTTAGTATTTGCCATTTGGACTTGGAGAGCGTTTAATTGAAATGGAATCGAAAATAAAATATGGTCCTATGTTATATTTAGTTTATTTTTTAAATAGAATAAAATAAGAAATAAAAATGAAATTAAATCAACCTGCAATCCTGCATGAAAATCATTAACCCTTATTTTTCGTGCTCAAACAAATCCTTAACCCATATTTTTCATCATTGCTAAACACTCACAATCAGTATAAGTCCACAAGTACCATATGCACTCGTGTCTCTATGAAACTCTCGCAACACGCTCTCAACTATGTCTAATGAACAGAACTGTTGTCACTCAGCCTACAACTACCGGTTAGATCTTTTCATACTATGCTTGCTGTGGACTTTTGAGTCCTAGTTCACAGTTTAGGCTTTTGGAAGTGAAGAAAGAGAAGCACCAATGGAAAAGAAAGAAGAAAATGATGAGGTTCAGAGAAAAAAGAGGATGATAAAAGAAAGGAAAGAAAGAACTTCATGATTCAATTTATGACATTAAATGCTATGTATGCATTTGATAAGTTGATAGACGAAATTCTATCATATAAACGACAGAATACAAATTCAAAAGGAGTACGATGACTCGATGAATGAAAAGAGTTAAAAGAAAAAAAAAATCTAAATTTAAATTAATTTTTTTACAACAAACCTTAATTAAATTTAAGACAATAGAAAATACCAACTTTATTTTAATTTAGCTCTTTTAAAAGGAGAATATTTCACTTTAAAGAATAAAATGTAATAGAAACAATTAATTAAAAAATTAATAATAAATATTATAGTTAATTTTAAATTTTATAATAAATATATTTGATTTTATTATAATTTTTAATCATTACATTTTATTTTTTAAATTACATTCTTTAGTGAAGTCAAATCCACTTTATTTATATGAGAAAAATATGAAAAGACTTTTGTTTACCTGAAATGTATGTCAAAGGCTATTTTCTTTTACGTGGATTCAAATCTCACTTGGTTATTACCCCAAAAAAAATCTCACTGGGTAGTTGGTTCCATTACTTACCAAAAAAGTTACGTCACTTCGTGCGTGTCACGGTTTCATACATAATATCTTATATCAGCACTTCTCTCCGATTAGTTTGTTAGCTTGTTTTCTAAAAACAAATAATTTTTTTTTTTTAATTGTATGGCTTAAAGCATATGCTATGAAACAGGAATAACTTTTTATTATTACTTATATTGAAGTGGCTCTATTTATTTTTTTATAAAAAAATTGAAAAAAGCTATATCAACAAGAGATGAGAAGAGAGAAAAATAATAATTATATGAGTTGTGAGAAGTTTTAATTTGTAATAAAAATGGAATGTACAATTACTTGATGAAAATTTTCATTTGAAAGATAAAATGGTTGCATTAAAAATGGAAATTAAAAGTGGACTGCCCAGGTCGTAATCCGACTAGCACATCGTCTTTGTACTCAACCTTCAACTCTTCAAGTAGTGATTCCAACCATAAAATTAATTTGACACCTTCAACTCTTCAAGTAGTGATTCCAACCATAAAATTAATTTGACTCACTGCTTGTGAAGAAGTTATATACTCTACCTCACAAAAAGATAAAGTAGCCACAATTAACTTCTTCAAACATCAAGAAATTGGTGCATTCAGAAAAGGAAACAAGTAACTAGAAGTACTATTTTTGTCCACCTTATCTTTACACCAATTAGAATTTGAAAATGCTTTAATTTTTGCCACACACTACTCCTTTCTCTTAAAAAATAACAGCCCATACTCCTGTGTTCCCTTTAGGTATCTCAGAATACGTTTGGTAGCAGCCATGTGTGAGACTCTTGGATCACTCATAAACCTTCTAATCAACCCAATTGCAAAATTGATGTTAAATTTGTTATTACACATAAATCTCATTAATCCCGCAATTTACTTGTGCAATGTGCCATCAACACACTTCTTTGTTTCTCCTTTTACCAACTTCACATTTGTCTTAACTAGGGTCACAACTTCATTGCAATTCTTCATTTGAAATCTCTTCAACACCTCCTGAATATATTTTTTCTAATGTAGAAAAACACCCTTATTGGTATCAACAACCTCTAGACCAAGGAAGTAATTAAGAATTCCTAAGTCAGTCATATCAAATTTTGACTTCATTCTCCCCTTGAATTCCTCAATTTCAAAACTATTATAACATGTAGCAAGAAGATCATCTACATATAAACATACCATAATCAAATCAACATCATTATTCATCTTCACTGAACATTTCGAGAACCCATGTTGGTGCAAGAAAGTATCTAATCTCTTGTTCCAAGCTTAAGGGGCTTATTTCAAACCATACAAAGCTTTCCTCAACTTGCATATTGCATGTTCTCTTCCCTTTATCTCAAATCCTTGTGGCTACAACATATACACCTCTTCCTCCAGTGAAACATTGAGAAATGCATATTTCACATCTAATTGAAACAAAGGACAACCTTTAGAACTAGCAATAGTAATTACTATCCTAATAGTTTCAATTCTTGCAACTGGAGCAAATATCTTAGTTTAATCCACTCCAACCTGTTGACAAAAGCCTTTAGCAACTAGTCTTTCCTTATGCTTTTCAATTGAACCATCTATTTTCAACTTCAACTTAAACACCCACTTCATATCAATTGGTTGCTTTGTAGTTAGAGGATCTATAAGCTCCCATGTATAATTCCTTTCTATAACATTAATTTCTTATTTCATAACATCCTTCCACCCCAATTATTTAAGAGTTTTCTCTCAATTTATTGGTTTTGAGTCTGCCATGAAATCCAAATGCTCTAGCTCACCATCAAACAAAACAACATCGTTTGGAAACACTTCATGATCTACAAGTCTACTTGATGGAAATCTCAACCTCTATGATCTTCTCTCTTGCTATTGCACAATAGGAATTGAAGTATTGGATTCAACTTGTTCATCCCCTTTAAGTTCAAGTTGAACATTGGTGCCTGAATCTAATTTATTCTCCCAACTCTATGATGTTGTCTTATTCACAGTAGCATCTCGGCTAATAACAACCTTATTCTAACTTGGATTGTACAACTTGTACGCTTCTGTTAAGTGATAGCTAATTAACATACGTGTTTCACTTCTGTCATCCAATTTTCTCCTTTTCTAATCCAGAATGTGCTTGTAACATAAGGAACCAAAATTTCTCAAATAATTAACATTTGGTTTATGCTCACTCCATGCTTCCTCGGGAGTCAGTGTCCTCATTCTCCTTGTAGGACATGCTCAACACATATGCTACAAAAGATATTGCCTCTCTCCAATAGCAATAAGCCATTCTCTTTCCTTTCGACATACACCTTTCCATTTCAAATAGAATTTTATTCCTCCTTTTAGCCAATCCATTATGTTAAATCTAAAAGCTAATACTTTTTAAAATTAATTCAGTAAGTAATTCTGTAAAGAAAATTAATAAGTAAAGATTAAAAAAATAGTTAGGATGATTTCGTATATTCATATTGATCTTGTACACAAAAATGAATCTTTATACAAATGTTAAAGTAAGAAAAAAGTAACGATAATTTTTTTTCCCCGAGAAAAAGGTAACACCAAACATAACAACACATACGGTGGACATAGTGATAATGTGTGGAGGATGTATAATGAATTTTACATATAAATGTGGACACAAATCACACACAAAAGGATTCTTCTTAGGTATTTGGAACTGATGAGCTGTAAAAGTTATGAAAGCATATATAAAACTATTATTTCTTAGCTTTCTCTTTATATTCCGTCTGCATTAGAGCTTTCTTTTTCAAAACTTTCCAAAGCTTATATGTGGCCAGATCTCTTGACTCACAATTCACCGAGACTTTAGAGAAAGCAGGCCTACCTTAATAAACAAATAAAAAGTAAAATGTAAAAAGTGGAATAACCTAACTCAGTGAGGAATAATAATTGGCGTTAAGGGAAGAAAAAAAGCTGATTCTTCTTTGTACTTTGGGCGCACGTTAATAAGTTGTTGCATGGCCTTTCTTGCTTTGAGGGGCATTTTCCCATAGAGTGAGGGCAAATGCTTTAACTCAAGAATGACAGAGAGAGTACAGTCATATATATATATCACTAAAAGCAAAGACATTCTAATTAACAAGTATCATGGAAAAATCGATTGATTTAACTCGGGCATAATGTTTAGAATCAATTTTGTTGCGATTTATTGTATTTTTATTATTATTAAAATTGATTTTAAGATGTTTAAATTTTCATCTACTTATAAATATTATAGTAGTTTTTCCATCAAGTAAAATTAATTTTAAAGTTTTATCTATCTAATATTATAATTATACAATAAAGTTAATTTTAATAATAAATATTTAAACAATATTTAACATGAAAATAAAGTCTATATCCATATTATTCAAACAAAAACCATATTACGTAATGTTCATGCTTACTCAAAATTAAATTTGTAAAATCACATTGATTTTAAATCAATTATATGAGCACATATTCAAACACACACTTATAAGTTACAACTTACTATTACATCTATACTATTAATAAAAATAATGTCTTTTTAGTGTATATTTTTGTTGACCATTTTACTTTTATAACTTTCAAAACAATTTTTTATTTAACTTTTATCACATCTTCTAATTAACTATCCAAAACTACTTAAGCTCACTATTAACCATCCTCCGGCATTTAACTTTAATTATTTTTCTTATCATTTTTGAAAACAAAATACATAAAGATATAAAGTATTTTTTATACGCCAGTAGTTAATAAAGGAAACAATTGTGAATTTTTCATGTTCCCATTTTTTCTTCTTCATAATATTAGTGCAAATAATTTATTGGATTTATTGATAATTAATTTTTGTTAGAAAATTTAATTCACCATCTTTAATGAAGTTTTTTTTTTCTTTCAATCACATTTTTTTTATCTATAAAACTCAAATTTGAGACTTTAATAATGGAAGACAT